CCCCAAAACCCCAAAACCCCAAAACCCCAAAACCCCATAAAGAAGCAGAGTATAGATACAATATTAAATAAATATTAATCGAGATTTTATGGAAATGTCAAGATTTTCACCTAAAAATGCCAAGACTTCCAATAAGCTCCACTTTGAAGACTCTGAGTATATTGATGATATGGATGAGAACTGAGATATGAATATCTCTGAGGAGAGTTCCCCCAGTTTCAATATTTCTAGTAAAAACATCAATAGAAGGACCAAAGCAAACCCTTTGGTTAAGAACAAGGGTAGTATAAAGTTCAATGAGGTTGAAGGATTCTTAGAGGACTTACAGAAACAAGAGACTATGCAAAAGAGTGGGCCAACTGGTTTGAAAATGGTACGAAAGATTAGCACTCCTAATTTCTTTAAACCCATGGAGCCTCAAGTCGAACTGCAGAAGAGAGGAATTTTCAGAAAAAATTCAAAGAATCTGAAATTTCAGAGAAGTAGTACAGTATCTAAAAGAAGAAAGCGTACAGTTTCACGGAAAAGAGTTAAGAAATTTAACAATAGTAAATAAAAGTTTGAAGAAGGAGTCTTCAACCACACTTCACTCAAGAGGGTTAATTTACCCATCTCAGTTCTCTAAAGTCCCAAAATCAAATAAGCCTACAAGTTCTAGCCATGTAACCAGATTTGCTTCAGCTCAAAATTGATGCTTGAAAGAGTTGTCCCGTTTTAAATATCCAAAAGGAACCCTGGCTGCTCCTGCTCCAATAAATGGTGAAGAAGGTCTCTTCCTCACCATTATGGACTTATAACAGCAAGAAATGCTTGGCACTGGCAAGCTATTAATTTTATACTATGAAAGAATCTTAATGTAAAAAATGACCTAATTATCTAAAATCTTCTAAAGAAAATATTGCTGGTGAAATCTTTTTCGAAAAATTCCAGCTTCTCAAGTACATAATTTCTTATAACCTCTATATATTTATACCCTATCTAATAAACTCTTTTTCTACACTAATCCGTCCCTAAAAGCATACCCAAACTAAAGAATCCTCCATAGAATCTCCTCACATCTCTCTTCCTTCCCTTACCCCTATTCCAATGCCCTATTCCACCCATCAAATTCCCAGCCCAATCTCCACGACACTACCTTCAAGCTCTCTCTTAATCCCCCAAAATCCCCTCTACGGTCACTTGTCAGTCCACTTAACCACATCTGTGCTCTTTAGTGGCGGAAAGGAGGCTGAGGTGGAATGGCTAAGTGGCTGTTTTAGTAGAGGGTTGGGTGGTGAACTGCAGTCCAGAGCTTAGGTTTTAATTTGTACTATTTAATTAGTCTTTAGACTAATTTTAAGACTGTTTCAATAACTCTGAGTTCTTATGGGGTTTTGGGGTTTTGGGGTTTTGGGGTTTTGGGG